TTATGTAAATTTGCTCTCACTGTGAAATGGTTGAACCAACCCCTAAAAAACCCACTGCCATTGAGTCAATTCCAACTGATAGCGACCCTATAGGGCAGAGTAGAACTGCCCTGTAGGGCTTGCAAGGCTGTAAATATTTAGGGAAGCAGACTGCTTTATCTTTCTCTCAAAGAAACTGGTGGGTTCAAACTGTCAACCATTGTTAGCAGCCGGACAAAGAGTTAAAAAAAAAAAAAAAAAGAAGAAGAAACAAAGTGTTATGCTAAAAGGGGAAAAAAGAAAAAAGTCTTTGAAAAGAGCAATGGATGTCAGAAGAGACTCTGACACTTGCTCTTGAATGTAGAGTAACTAAAGTAAAATGAACACATGTTGAAGTGAAAGAGCTGAACAGAAGATTTCAAAGGGCGGCTCAAGAAAAGAAAGTATAAAGAAACGTGCAAAGATCTGGAGTTAGAAGATCAAAAGGAAATAACATTCTTGGCATTTCTCAAGCTGAAGAAACTTTAGAAAAGTCAAGCCTTGAGTTGCAATATTGAAGGATTCTATGGGGAAAATACTGAACAACGCAGGAAGCATCAGAAGAAGATGGAAGGAATACACAGAGTCACCATACGAAAAAGAATTGGTCAATGCTCAACCATTTCAGGAGGTAGCATATGATCAAGAACCAATGGTATTAATCTCTGTGTCTTTCTTTTGCCATAGTGATATTGGGCCGATCATCCCCTGAATTATATTGCTTCACCCAAATTAATACATATCTACTATCTAGTTGGTGATTTTCCCATCCCTTCCCTCCATTTCTGGTAACCATTAAAAAAGCGGAGGTGGGGGGAGTCACTGGTGAAAAACAGGGCTCCAAGAATTAACAGAATACCATTAAAGTGTTTCCACAAACAGATGCAATACTGGAAGTGCTCATTCATCTGTGGCAAGAAATCTGAAAGGCATCTACCTGACCAACAGATTGGAGGAGATCCATAATTATGCCTCTCCCAAAGAAAGGTGATCCTACAGAATGCAGAAATCATCATATCATTAATATCACATGCATGTAACATTTTGTAGGAGATAATTTTAAAAATTGTTGCAGCAGTACACCAATAGTTAACTGCCAGAAATTCAACCAGATTCAGAAGAGGATGTGGAACTAAAGATAATCATTGCTGATGTCAAATACTGAAGTTGTTGAAGATTTTATTTTACTTGGATCCACAATCAACATTCATGGAAGCAGCAGTCAAGAAATCAAATGATGTATTGCATTGGGCAAATCCACTTTAGAAGACCTCTCTTGAAGTGTTCAAAAGCAAAAATGTCACTTTGAGGACTAAGGTGCACCTGACCCAAGCCATGCTATTTTCAGTCTCCTCAAATTTATGTGAAAGCTGGACAATAAGGAAGACTGAAGAAGAACTGATGTCTTTGTATTATAGTGTTGGCAAAGAAGACTGAATATACCCTGGACTGTCAGAAGGAACGACTCTGACTTACAAGGAGTACAGCCAGAGTGCTCCTTAGAAGTAAGGATAGCAAGATTTCATCTCACATACTTTGGACATGTTATTAAGAGGCACCAGTCCCTGGAAAAAAGACGTCAAGCTTGGAAAATAGTGAAATAGAGGAAGACTCTCAATGAGATTGGTTGACACAGTAGCTGCAACCATCCACTCAAGCATAGACAGTTGGGAGGATGGCCAGAACTAGGCAGGGTTTTGCTTTGTTGAACATAGGGTCATTGTGAGTCAGTACCAATTGAATGACACCTAACAACAACTGTAGCACTATTTTGATAACGAATAAAAAATGTGACATTTTATACATTAAAATCTTAGTATATATTAGGTAAATATAGTATGTGGATAACTTTTTTTTCTATTTTATGGATAAAACAGCATTTCTCATTAGGTTGGGCACATTCAGTCTCTGGATGGTGCAAATGGTCAGCCCACTTACCTGCTAACCTCAAGGTTAGAGTTTCCAGTCCATCCAGAGATACCTTGAAAGAATGGCCTGGTGATCTACTTCAGAAAAATCAGCCACTGAGAAATCTATAAAGCACAGTTCTACTCTGACACACAAGGTCACCAGGAGTCAGAAGCCACTGGATGCCAAATGGTTTGCACACAATCACTGGTTTTACAGGCAGGAGAGATGCTTTCTGTGGGAACCAGAGGTAGAAGTCCATCCTCCTCCACCTGCTTCAGAGCAACCCAGTATCCCTCATCTCTTGCCTGGTCATGGTCCTATCTGAAGTCCTTTTGTTTGTTCCTCATAGACGTACTGAAACAAAATTGACTCTAACACTTTAGGCTACATGTACTTGAGAAAGAAACACGAGCAATGAGGTATTAAGCTTCCAGTTGGTGAATGCATTTCTGTGTCTGAATGACTATAAAATATGTCCAGTTGGATCTGTTGCCTTTTGGAGCACCTGAAATTTTTTTCAGTTCTGGAAGCATGCTGAGATTTATGGTGTCTGAAATAATGCCCCCTTACATTTAGGCGAGCAGTTGCAGGTACTTCCCAGAAATGTGCTGCATTCCTTTATTATTTTTTTATTGTGATTTGAGTGAAAGTTTACAGAGCAAATTGACTTTCCATTACAGCAATTCACATACACTTTGTCTCATGACATTGACTGCAATTTCCCACAATGCAACAGCTCTCTTCCCACTTCCTCCCTTTAGTTACCTCTTCCCTGCATCCTTCCCTCCATGCACTTCTGCCCCCCTGCGCTGTCTCCCTGTGCATACACAGCCCTTCTATTCTGACATGATTGATCTCTCCAAGGAGTGCATCTATCTAATGTAAATGTTCAACTTCTATGCCTGTCTTTTGTTTGGCTGGAAACCACAGGAGTGAGTTCATTTCTAGACCTGAAGGGCAGCTAGGGGCCATAGTTTCAGGGGTTCCACCAGGCTCTATCAGACTAGGAAACCTGGTCCCTTTTTTTTAAATTTATTAATTATTTTAAGTTTTGTGCCACATTGTTCTCCCACTCTATCCAGGATCTCTTACATAGACCCCCCTCCAAGTGGTTGACAGTGGTAGCCAAGCACCCACCATCTAGTTCTTCTGGTCTTATAGTCATATAGGCTGAGGATCACATGGTCTACCAGTCCCTTGGATTGTTTTCATGCACCATTAGTTTTCTTCATTCTTTGCTCTGGACAAGGAGAGACCCATCATTGCATCTAGATGACCACTTGAAAGCTTTTAAGATCCCAGTCACTTCTCATCAAAGTAGGATGTAGAACAATGTTTTTGTGAAGTGTGTTATGCCAATCGAGCTTGATGTCCCCTGGGATCATGGCCCTGAGCCATGATCATGGTCCAACTACTTGCTCCCTCCAGGTGGCTGGCTGTGGCCAAGAAGTCACCACAAACTTATACAAATACACTTGTAGAAACATCGTCTGCCAACACTATACATGTGTAAACCTGACCTCTTAATGAGGCAGGTTTAGAATGGGGTGCATCTTGAGTCATTCTTACAAGAATCACACTTTTACTCAAGTCCTACCCTCATATCCAATATATAGTGGGCTCTCTGGCACAGCTCCCTCACTCTGGACGCTGTATCCAGTTCATTACCATCTGACTTTCAGCTCTTGGGATTTGAGCTAACTGCCACTTGTGGGTCTGTTAGCTCCTGCATGAGTCAGAAACCTCCACCCTGACCCACAGATTGGGGACTTGCCTGTCTCCGTAACTGTGTGAGCTATTTTCTTGAATTCTCTCTCTCTCTCTCTCTCTACACACACACACACACATTCATTGGTTTTGCCTCTCTAGAAAACGCAGCCTCAAACAACTGGCCATGACTGAACTCAATCTCCAGCTCATCTACCAGTCCTGTAGCTAGGCTGTTATCAGGTGATTTCCTAGCATGGCCAGCCCCAAAATAAGTTACTTCCTTAGTGTAAACTTCCTGGTGAGGGAGAACTCCCTCCTAAGTTAACAAGGACACTCTAAACATCCAGGAGACCCCAAGGGTTTAGAGGTTATCTCTCAGAAATCAAGATCAAAGGCCAAATCCTTTTAGTAGTTAAGTTTCCACCTAAGAGACATGGGTCTGGAAGTCCTGCATGTCTCTACACACTTAATCCACACAACTACAGCCATTGGAACATGTGTGGATGAACTATTAAAGAGGTATATACATTTTATAAGGTCATAGTGACCGTATAGGACAGAGCAGAAGTGCCCCATGGAGTTTCTAACACTGTAAATTTTTACAGAAGTCTTGACACATTCTACAATATGGATGGCGCTTGAAGACATTATTCTGAGTGAATTAAGTCAATCACAGAAAGACAAACATTGTATGATCTCACTTATATAAAAAGACAAAAGACAGATGTATAGAGAATAAAGTTTATTAGTGGTTACCAGGGGTGGGAGGGAGGGGAAAAGGGAAGATTAATGCTAATGGAATACTGAGTTCCCATTCATGGTGATGGAAAATCATTGATTATGGGTAGGGTTGCACAGTCAAATTACTGTAAATGTTCTAAGTTTTACACCTGTAAAACATTGAATTGGCAAAAGCTGTGTGCACATATATCTACAATAACAACAAAATAAGAGTAGCTGCTGAGACAGCTTCTTCTTATGTACAAAAAACACCTCATGGGATTTGGTTCCTTGGTCTGCAGGTGTAGGCTAAACTGGCCCCAAAATACGTTTAGTACTTCTATTCTACTCCTAGTTTGTGGTGTAGTGCCTGGGTTCTTAAAAGTTTGCAAGCAGCCACCCAAGGCACAACTGTTCTCCATTTGCCTGGAACAACAGAGGAAGAAGCAGAATTAGGAACAGGAGAAGGAAATGGAATACATGGTTAACTGCCTTCTTTGCCAAGAGACCAGAACTGGAAGGTGCCCAACTACCATTATTGAACATTCTGATCAAAGCTGTAGAATTTTTAACATCTGTCACACTTATTAGGACTGGCTTCTATGTGAATTCTCTGGTATTGAATGAGGGTGCTTCTTTGCCTAGAGGATTTCCCATTCTCCACACTTGTAAGGCTTTGTTCCAACGTGAACTCCAGTGTCAAATGAAGCCATGTTTGTAGCAAAAGGATTTCCTACATTCGCTACACTCAAAGGCCTTTCTCCATTGTGTATTCTCTTGTGTTTATTAAGGTGGGAGCTACGACTGAACAATTTTCCACAGTTGATGCATTCATAAGGTCTTTCACCAGTGTGAATTTTCCAATGTCGAATGAAGGCTGAACGATGGCGAAATGATTTTTCACATTCCACACACTGATAAGGCCTTTCTCCAGTGTGAACTCTCTGATGGTATATGAGTAAAGATTTGCGGCTAAAAGATTTCCCACATTCACCACACTCATATGTCATGGATCTAATGTGAATTCTCTGATGTTGAATAAGGCTGGATCCTTGGCTAAAACATTTTCCACATTCACAACATTCGTATAGCTCTGTTCCTGCATGAATCCTCCTGTGATTATTCAGGTAAGAACAATAACTAAAAAATTTTCCACATTTGCTGCATTCATATGGCGTAGCTGTAGAGTGAATTCTCTTATGTTTATGAAGGAGGGAGTGACGACCAAAGAATTTCCCACATTCACTGCACTCAAAAGGCCTTTCTCCAGTGTGACTTCTCTGGTGTTTATTAAGGTCAGATTTTCGGTTAAAGCATTTCCCACATTCGCTGCACTCATAAGGCCTTTCTCCAGTGTGAATTTTCTGATGCTGTATTAGGGTTGAGGAATCTCTAAAGGATTTCCCACATTCTTCACACTTATAGGGCCTTTCTCCAGTGTGAACTCTCTGATGGTAAATGAGTAAGCACTTGTATCTAAAGGATTTTCCACATTCACCACACTCATACGGCCTTTCTCCAGTGTGAATTCCCTGGTGCTGAACAAGTCTGTACTTGCAGCTGAAGTCTTTCTCACATTTGCTACCCTCATAAGGTTCTTCTTGAGTGCAGACACTCTCATGGTGAAATAGTACGTTATTGTGGCTGGAAGATCTCCCACGTTTATTACACGTGCAATGTCTTTTTCCACTGTGAAAGGACTCCCCACACTCAAGGCCAGTGGATGGCTTCTCACTCTTAGGAGTGGCCTGCTGCTGGAGAAGGCTCAAAGTTTCTGGGATGTCTTTCCCAACTTTCCTGCAGGTGAAAGGCATCCCTGACACATGGAATATGAAGTCCTTCATACATGAGGCCCTATCCTTGTCTCTTCTAAAGTGTTTCTCTCCACTGTGAGACTTGTGGTGCTGGGGAAGGGTTGCACTCATCCAAAAGCATCTCACACAAGCCCCACCCAAGCACAGATTCTGCTCAGGGGATGATGCTTGCTCAGTCATGTGCAAAATATCTTTCAAGAATGGAACACCCATCTCCCAGGGGTGAGTGTTCTGGGTGGATAAACCTGTCTCTGAAGTCTTGACTTGTATTTCCACAGAAACGTTCTGCTTAGAAGATGCCTCCTTATCCTTTGTTCCAGACCAAGAACCTGAAAGCACAGAAACAATGATGAAATGCACAACAACTTTCCTGGGAAGAAGAAGAAACATCATAAATGAGCAGCACACGCAAGGAGTGAGTCCATGGAACTGTTCTGATAACAAGGAAGCTGGGGACACGTTGCAGAATGGGTTGCTCTGCAATACTAAGACTCTGAAGATTACAAGGACACTAAGATGGGATGAAGCACAGGAGGGAGAGCTAAGATGTCACTTCTCTGCCGACAACCTTCCGAAGGACTTTATGACTGGTAGTGACTATGACAATGCCTGTAATTCCCACCACAGGCAACCATGAGGAAATGTCAGCTATAGTAAAGGAGCAGAATCTGGGCATAAAAGTGCCATGAATCAAGACAGTCATCCTGACACAAATGAGCTCCATTAGTCTGATGTAAAATTTCAGACACACAGACCTTTCCCTGCACACAGCAGATGTTAAGGCTACTACAGAATACAATGCTCAGAACACTACACACAGCTCAGCCCTGGCACCCACAGAACATATATGATGAAAGTAGGGAAGGTAGCTGAGCCTATGTGTGGCTGTGGAAAGACACAGTTGTCTCTGAGGTAAAGAGGAAAGGCAGATAATAGCTCAGGACACTTGGGTGGGTGTGAGAGTCTTACCCAGGGAAGCTACAATTGCAAAGTTCTCCAGCATCACATCGCAGAACAGGAGTCTCTGAGTCTCATCAAGCAGCCCCCACTCCTCCTGGGAGAAATACACAGCCACGTCCTCAAAGGTCACACCACCCTGCTGTGATGGGGCAACAGTGCATTCTATGATTAGCTTCTCATCTCAGGACCCCAAGTTCTTCCCTCAACACGTCAATCTTCTGGCCACCCTCCTCCCCAGGTCACACCTAAGAGGAAAGACCAAGCCTTGGTGCCACTGACCACCTCTCCCTCTCACTGCTGTCAGCTGATGGCACCAAGAGCTAAGTGGGCAGACAGACTAGATCTAAGATATAGTCTGGCATTAGAGCCACATGTGTACCTTCTCATGCATTTCTCTGGAGACTCACAGACTGTGCCTCCCAGACACAACCAAATATGGGCTTACCCTTCACTCTTAGGTCCCCAATACAGGGCCCTGGGGCCATCAGTTCATGTTCCTCTCCATGTCCACATAACACTTTTTCCCACACTCTCTCCCATTTTGCACTCTGACAGCCTCCTCCTCCATCTGCCCCACATCATGGCATCTCCTTGGCCTCCCCACATGTTGCTGTGCACATGGCATCTAGAGAGTTTGACAAATTCAAACAGAATACAGTACTACCCCAGACCTCAAGTAGTCCCCTCTGACAGACACAACCCCAAATTATACTGGGAAGGCCTCCTTGCCTTGAACTCAGTCACTCAAAACCATGTAGATCTCTGATACCCTTGGTCCTCTTCCACTTGTGTTATACTTGCTGTCCCACACGAGTCACAGCCTTCCTTCATTCATCATTCAAAGCCAGTCCTCAGTAGCCCTTGACCCCTGGACCTTCCAAAATGATTGCTTATGGCCCAGAGCTAATCTACAACCTGACTAAAGCACACTAAGCCCAAACGAGATTCACAACAAAATTCTGGTGCATCCATAGCATGGTAAATAAGCACCAATCCAGGCCTCACTGTCATCTTGCCTCTATCACTCCCATGCCTCCATATCCATCTCACGCCCATTCATACCTTGGAAGCCTTAACCACCTTCCAGGTCATCCTCTCTTCTACACTTCCCATGGCCATTTCTCTTCCTCACCTGTGTTTGTGATGCACTCCACCCACAAAGAGAGACCCAAGTAGCTGTGTCATCAGCCTGTATCCTCCCCTTGCTGGCATGCTATCAGCATCACCACCATGACCAGACTGTCCCTAGTAAAGAGGAGCCACAGCTCTATCCAGGTCCACACATTGGCCACGACCTTTGGAGATACCTCCATTCCAAACCTCTCTTCAGAGTTCCAGATCTGTTGTCTAGCTGCCCACTTAATACTTCAATTCATAATTCTCGGACATACCTCATACTCATAACATGGCCAAAAACAAATCTTTTGATCCCAAAGAAAATTATTCCTAGTACTGAGCTCTGGTAGCATAGTGCCTAAGGCCCTTGACCGCTAACCAGAAGGCTGGCGGTTCAAACCCACCAGCCACTCCTTGGACGGAAGATGAGGCAATCTACTTCTGTAGTGATACTGCCTTGGATACCCAAGGAGGGGTCGCTATGAGTCAGGTCCAACTCAACAGCACATAACAACAACAACAACCAACTTCCCTATCTCACTTGATGGGACCTTACTACCTTACTGCCTTACTCTCAAATCAGAAAATTCAAACAGCCCTACTTAAAATAAAATCTAGAATCCATCTGTCATGGACTGAATTGTGTTCCCCTCAAATATGTGTCAACTTGGTCAAGTCATGATTCCCAACATTGTGTGGTTGTCCTCTATTTTGTGCTCTGATGTAATCATCCTTCATTTAATGTGTTATAAATCCTAACATCTACATGTTAATGAGGCAGGGTTAGTGTGTAAGTGTGTCTTGAGTCACAGGCTCACAAGAGGATCTGACTCACATTATACTCTTACTCAAATTCCACTATGCTTGAGTCACACCTTTTATCCTACAAGACATTAAAGAAAAGCTAGCAGAATGAAAAGCAACCTCACTACCACCAAGAATAAAGAGCCAGGAGTGGAGCATGCCTTGGACCCAGGGTCCCTGCACTGACAACCTCCTAGACCCAGAGGAAGATACATGGGGATCTCTAAGGAATGCTGGGCCCACAGATGTCAGAAGGAGACAAGGATCATCCCCTAGAGCTGACAGAGAAGAAATCTACCTTTAGAGCTGGCAGCCTGAATTCAGATTTCTAACCTCCTAAACTGTGAGAAAATAAATTTCCATTTGTGAAAGCCATCCACTTATGGATGCACTAAGACACCAACCATTCTCCCCACTTTCACAACCACCATACTGGTCCAGCCACTGTCAACATACACCTGGATTAGTGCAGCAGACTTCTCCCTGGTCTTCCTGCCAAATCCTTCACACCCACAGTCTGGTCTCCATGTTGCAGCCTCCCATGCTGGGAGGTGACACCAATCAGATCATCTCCAGAATAGACATTCAACTTCTCAGGAAGCCATTTCAAGCCTGCCTCCTGTCTCCTGCTCGCTCTTGCCATGACAAAAAAAGGAGACTTTTGATTCTCTGAACACTTTAACTCAATTTTATCTCCTGTCATAAAGTCAATATGTGGTCTCATAATTTGTTGCCTTGGCATCCCTTGATCTCTCTTAATTGCTTTTTCACTCACTTTCTGACATGGCCATTTGTATCTTGTCACAGTCTCTCAACAGTTCTAGTCTCTTACTAGCCCTCCTAGCTATGCCCCATACATTTTTCTGTGATGGAGACCTTGTTGATATCTTGTTTCCCAGTCACTTAATGACCAACTATAATCTCTCCTTGCCCCTCCTGACTGTGTCCCATATTCCTGAGTTAAGGCACTAGAAACTTCTAAACTGATCAATAAGACTCAAGCGTGCACTTACCTGGAGACCCCATGCTGTTTGCTTTCTCCTACAGTTCTAGCTAGCTGTTACCTGGCCCCCTTGTGTGACACCCTGTGTGGTGATGCACTGAAGCATTCTATAGTTTGCTCTGTGAGAACTAAATTCTACTTGTTTAGCTGCCTTCCTACATGAGTCTCACTTCCTCATGAAGCACCTGACAGAATACCTATGGTACCCACAGAACCCCTTGGGTCAAATTAAAATACCTCCAAGCATTTGCACATATGGTTACCTAAGCCAGGGACAAACTTCCCGCTATCATCCCATTAGTTCCAACAATATGAGCCAGTCTACATAAGCCCAAGATTGAACACAGTACCCCAAGCTTGGGGATTTCTTCAAGATCCTCAGGCCAAACCTAGAAGAACAGCAGGTGAAGAATCCCAGGATATCACAATCTGAAAGAACACTTGGGTGGGGTCAGGACCAATGAGGCTCTGGGATACCCTCCACTCACCTGGGTAGGGTCCATAAGCGCTTTTCCAGTCATGGGAACCTGTGGAAAGAGAACAGTCATGACAAACAGATGACCATGGTAGTAGGGCTGCAGGGGTTCAGAGGCACCCTGGAGCCAGGTGACCTCGGGGTGCCAGGCTAATAACCTAGGTGCCAGTGCCGCACTGCGCAGCGCCAACTCTTACCAGCCGTCCCTTGGACAAGGACTCAACCTCCCTGGGCCTCACTCTGATCACGTCCCTTACAACCTGGTCTTTCCCTGAGCAGCTTGGAGAAAGCTTTGTGTGTGTGTGCCACGTGTCAAGACCCTTTACTCCTTTTTATTTTTTTAGTTGTGATTTGGGTAGAAGTTTTCAGAGCAAATTCACTTTCCACACAGCAGCTCCCATACACTCAGGGAAAGCGTTGTAAAGCCCACCACACAACAGGTCCCTCTTCTGCTCCCAACCCTACACGGCGCCCAGCGTCCCGAGAAGCCTACTCCAGGCTGGAGCCCTACCACTAGCGGTTCCCTGACGACACAGAGGGTCTCCGGGTTTCTCGAGCGCTCCCGGCCCCGTCGCACTGCGAGCATTTACACGAACCGGCCTCTCCGCCTGGAGCACCCTCCCACACCTGTTCACACCACGGTCCGGACGGGAGACCCACTCACGATCGCCTCACTGCCCAGGGCCCTGGGGCCCACGCTGCAGGGACGTGAGCAGACGCCCCATACCGGAGGCTTGAGGAATGGGAGGTGGAGTAAGGGTGGATGAGGGCCTGCAAGGTGCAGCATTTACCTGAGCCAGGTGCCTCAGTGCGGCCGCCGCCATTGGAGCCTGTGGGCGGAGCGGCGTGCGATGGGCGGGGACTTGGAAAAGGCCGCCCTCAGCCTGGTGTTGACGCAATCACCGAGGACCGCGCCGCAGTGGGCCCTCACACACGTCTCTGTGTATTGAAGAGAACGCCTTCTCTCATATTTGCTCTCTATGCACCGTCTTACCGTAGCCTCTAATCAGGTAAGCCCAACAGAAAACTTCCAAAATGACCGCGACGAGGAAGACACCGGATGTCCCGCCCTGACGTGATGTGCGCTAGAGGAAATACCTGTTTAGATTTTCATTGGCTCAATGCCGCTGCCGCTCCGCGCAACGCTTTATGGGTAATGTAGTTTCCACAGTTGCATAGATCGCGGCGAAGCGCTAAGCGCTTTCGGGCCACCCTGCGGACCTAAGGACCTTTTTAGGGGTCCTGAGGCTTGGCGTCCTTTGTTTCCTAAGGCAGGAAGAGCCTTCGTCCCTGCTTAAAAGAGCCGTTCGGAGACTGCTTGGGCGCATTGTCTTCAACTAATCACCCAAGTGGTGGTGGTGGTGGTGGTGGTGGTGGTGTGTGCCGTCGAGTCGGCCCCGACTCATAGCGACCCCTCCTTGGGTTTTTAGCCACTATGCTACCAGAGCTCCCCACCCAAGTGTTAGGAAGCATTATTTCAGACTTCATGAAGATTAGCATGCTCCCAGAGGCTATAGATTGAAGGACATAATCACTCCATAGAGTCATTAAACTCAAAGGTAAACATTGAGAGCTGAACGTAATAAGCATTATCTCCAAGTTTAAATGCCTGTGTTCTGAAGCTTTGGAGTTACTTTTGTGGGCCTCAGTTTGTTCAGTTAAGAGCAAGGGAAACACTTCTCCAGCGATTCCATCATCTCCATGAGAAACCCAACCCAATCCATTGTCTTCTGGTCAATTTTGATTCATGGTGACCCTGTCAGACAAAATAGAACTCCTCCATAAGCGCTCTGGTGGCCCAGTGCCTAACTGCTAACCAGAAGGCTGGCGGTTCAAACCCACCAGCTACTCTTGGGAAGGAAGGTTGGGCAATCTATTTCCATAGTGATACCGCCTCGGAAACCCAAGGAGGGGTCGCTATGAGCAGGATTTGACTCGGTGGCAGAGTTGGTTTATTTTTAGTTTTAGTTTACATTAGTGGTGGTGGACTAACTTGGAAAAGGATGAGGAAAGCAGTTTCCCAACTGAAGAATGTAGTCCTTGTCAGAGTTGTTGTTATTTGCTGTCGGGTCAGACCCAACTCATAGAGACCCTTCTTGGGTTTCGGAGGCAGTATCACTACGGAAGTAGATTGCCGAACCTCCCTTCCGAGGAGCGGCTGGTGGGTTTGAACCGCCAGCCTTCTGGTTAGCAGTCAAGTGCCTTAGGCACTACGCTACCTATACATACCAAAATTGTTGAATTAGCATATATTTTGTTATGTTTATTTTCACCACAATACAAAAAAAGAAGCCAAGGAAGGAACGGCAGGCACCCACGCAAGAATGGGTGAAGCCTCCCCTAGTGAGGCAATAAGGAATCAGCAGCCAGCTTTGATATAGAATCCACATCAAAAAGGAGCACTGACCTGCAGTTAAATGCTGACTAGAAGAAAATTAAACTAAGCTGGTAAGAGAGTCACCAGAAATAAGGGGGATAGTTGGTGCCCCAGCCTATCAGGATGGCAATGGTGCTTTGGGATGCAAGACTTGCTGTACTGAGCTATCAGGTACATTCAAGGAAGACAGAGGAAGCACAAGTGCCATCTCCCTCCAAAGAAATTTAGCTTTAAAGGGTTAAGAGAGATGGATGCTTCCAGAGGTTGATGAAGGCAAATGATCAAGGAGTTGTTCCTTTTTCAAAGGAAAGCCAAAAGTGTATGATTAATGCTGATGGAATGGTATGAAGAGGTAGTGGCTGGATTTATGGCAGAGACAAGTCACAAGAGCAAAGTGGCTCAGGGAATCCAGAAAAGATGGAATCAATGCCACACAGCTAGGGGCAAACCCCAAACTGGGAGGGAAGCCTCCCTTTCATTTTGAACAGAAAGGAAGGAAAGAAATGAATATATGTAGGGTGAATGTTCAGACTTTATGGTAGGAATTTAAGAGTTCCTATTTTATTGTATTTTTCTGTGGATGTAGGATGAAAATACACATGAAGAGTGAGGGAGAATTTGATGAGGTTCAGAAAAATGCTGTAGATATTGGCACAATTGACTTTTAGTCAGCAGTTGAGAAAGTGGCAGTTGGTAAGCATGAATTTGTAGAAAATGGTGACTGATATTTTACAGCTACACAAACTCCCTCATGGCAGACCTGGAGGAGCTGGAGAACTGGAACATCTTTTGGTGAGGAATTGGAACTAAAATAGGGCAAGGAGCTGAGTCCTGAGCTTTCTGGATGGAAATGACAAAGAGTATATGCAGAACGACTAACAGAAAGGTTAGCAGTTGGAACCAACCCAGTGGGACCTTGGAAGAAGGCCCGATAACGTGCTTCCAAAAGACTTCAGTTGACAAAGCCTGATGAAGCAGTTCTGCTGTGACACTTGGGGTTGCCATGAGTCAGAATCAACTCCATGGCAATGGCTTTGGTTTTGCTTTTACTGAGCAAAAGGGAGAACACTGAGTGGTGGTGTTAGTTGCTGTGGAGTCAGTCCTGACTCATGGCAACCCCGTGTGTGCAGAATAGAACTGCTTCATAGGGTTTTCAAGGCTGTGAGCTTTCAGAAGCACATCTCCAGACCACCCTTCCTAGGCACCTCTTGATAGGTTAGAACCACCAACCTTTGAGCTAGTACTTGAAGGCTTCAACATTGGTACCACCTAGGGACTCCAGTGAAGATTGGGAGGACCCCATTAAGATGTAGAAATTAGGGGAAGGCCTATGAATTTGAGAATTAGATGATATCTAGGAATTTATGTCCCAAGTGTAGTGAAAGTGAACAAAGTTGGTAGAGGGGACTTGAAGACACAAGAACAAAGCCACTGGGTGTGTCCTGTGATTTAGCAGTTAGGACTGACAGTGAGCTCCAGGAATTGGCCTCTATGGATTTTCACACGATGTCACCCTCGCTAAAGCCTTATTTCCTCCTTTTCATGTATCCATTTGGAGTCTGTGGTACTTAAGATTATTTGTCAACTTGGCTGGGCCTGGTTGAGTGGCTAGGCAGCTAGATGTAATTATTATCCATGGTAGGATTGGGAATTAGTTCCATGGTGGAATCTACTGGAGCAGCTGGGTGGCTGCTTTAGGGATGTGGGCTGCTTCGAGTATATATAAGAAGCAACTTTGAGGAAGGTCTCTAGCTTTTGCATGCTTGAACCCTGCATGTAGCCAAGTTGTCATTCAGCAGCTTGCCATGCCCTGCCGATCTTAGGACTCTTAATGGACTTGATCTTAGGACTCTCAATGGCCTGCCAAGTGGTTTGGTAATATCAGGACTGTGTCTTTTTACTTGTCAACCTTGGGCTTGTCAGCCTAAGCAGCCACCAGCTGCCTGAGTGAAGAGACACCTCTAGCTCCAGGGGGCCGGGAGCAAGAGGCAGACCTGAAGCCCAAAGTCGAAGGGCTTTCACCCAGCTCCTAAAGGCTGGCACTTTGAACTTGGACTTCTAGCCTCCTAAACTGTAAGAGAATAAATTCCTGTTTGTTCAAGCCATTCCAGCGTGTAAGAGAATAAATTCCTGTTTGTTCAAGCCATTCCAACATGGTATTTTCTGTTAGAGCAGCATGAAGTAATCAAAGAACACCCTGGGTGGTGTAACCACTTAAGCACTCAGCTACTAACCAAAAGGTTGGCAGTTCAAAGCCACCCAAGGTACCTACTGATCTGCTTCTGAAAGGTCACAGTGTCTTAGTGAAAACACTAGGCTGACACTGTGCTAGAAATTAAAATAAAATTTTTTGTTAAAGGAATAGAATTATTTTTAAATGGGAAGACATTTAACAAATATCCAGGCAAGAAATTCTCAAAATTGTGGGAGAACAGTGTAGGTTTATAAAAACTAGTGAACAAAGGATTTGCTGGAAGGCACATGGGGTCGGGGAGGAAGCACAACAAAAGCTACACACGGTCTGTTCAACTACAAACATAGACACTTTCAGTAACTTCATCCGTTGCCTCCTGAGGTTAGTACATCTGAGAGTTCTTCAAGAAAGCATCTTCCAGGGGCTGATTTTCTGTCACATCTGAAGTCTGTCTCCTTCTCTTAGTTACAGTTTTAGAGGACCAGTGGATGCAGTGGGAAATCCTGGTGAGTGAAAACCTCATTTGGGTGTCAGGATGTGAGCCAAGACTTGATATGTATCTATTTTAGGTTAGAGTTCTTCATAGGCCTTAACTTCATGGAATATCATCACTTCTATTTCTCCTCCTCCTGCTGACCAAGGTGACTTCTCTGGAGCGAGCTGCAGAAGCATTCTTCAGACACTAAAAAACTCTTTATCTGGGTTAGAAGTTCTAACTTTTGCCTTTGATTTTTAAACAGGAAGACTTTGACAAAAAGGCTGACTGCTTTCTTTAGAAAAGTAGAAATGAAAATCTGAGATAAATTCAAAATGGAAGGATAATTTAGGTCTGAAGTCATGTAACTCTGGTATGTCAGTACTTCAGTGTTTGGTTTGGTTTTGCTATTGTTTAAGATTTGCACCCATGCCAGCCTGCAGAACCCTCTGGAACACAGTGCTATTCTGACTCACATGGGGTGCCTTGAGTCAGAATCTACTCACTGGACACTTGGTTTTTATTTTGTTATGTATCCACATATCCATTTTAGTCTTCTTACCACTTTATACATCGCAGCCTCCTTCCCTAGATTCACTTATCCCACACTGCAGAATTTGCCTCTGGAGCCATCTAGCACCCTAGGCTCTCTCCTAGACTGCTCAGCACATTGTAGGGCAAGGTTTTGTTTCTTTAAACGTCTCCCCATTAAGAACTACCCATCCCGCATGGCAGAACGTCTACTACGCCTGACCTTGGGTAACCCTAGTGTCCAGCA